GTCTCCCGTTGAGTGACCGGACCAGCCGGCAGAGTTCAGAGTTTTCTGCATTCCTTGCTGCAATTTCTAAGTGCTTCTTTTCTTTCACTCTCTAATCTGAATATTTGCTTCATTGTCGTCTTGTTCCAGAAAAAATTCATCTTTCACACTTCACCTGCCGCAATGGCTTCTTTGTACAAGACAGCGGCAGCAGTTTGCCTCGTCGCACTCTATGGGCTCCAATCAGAGGCAGCGGAAGAGGCTGCGAAAACATATAAATTCAAAGTTGTGGAGGTAGATGAAGGTGATCTAGGTTTCCCCTCTATTCTCGTTTGTCGTGCCCTTCTCTCCTCCTTCTGTTCTCCCCAGCCCTCGACCGCTCAGCTGTGCCGGACACAAGGCCGCTGCACTGCACGGTGAATATCTTCGCTCGACGCTTTATTCGTATTTGTTTGTTGCAGGTGTATACTTGGCCGCCAACTTGGCCCGCAATGGAAAACTCCCAGTTCACATCAGTGAAGTCACAAAGGACGAAGACCTTATCGCTGGCGTGCGGAAGGGAGTAGTAGATGAGCAAGGAACAATCCTTCAAGGGCCATGCAATGAAATGAAGATCAAATCCGGCCTTGTGAGCTCAACAACTGCAAAGGGGGGGTGTTTGAGTTGTCCCTGTTGGTTCTCGTGTGTCAGCAGCAGCTGTAAATTCAAGTATAAAACCTGACAGAAGATAAGTAGCCGTTTAGTTGAGTATCTGAGACAAACTGAACACGAACAAGTTGCACTGGTGTTTACTTCATATTTGGGGTGTACAGGAAGCGTTTCATCACACTTTCGACTATCAGGATGGTCCTAATTTCCGTGAATTGCTGCAGGCAGCCCTTGACGCGGGGCTGGCAGTCTTCAAGTAAGAAAACGCCACCTCAGTCCTCACTACAGACAAGTACTAGCTGGTAGAAATGCAATACTTTCATCACGCCCTTTGCTTGATACACCAGTTAGTCCTTCTGTAAGACTAGCTTTCGTCCTCGCACCGCAAAGCGACAGCGATGACGCGTAGATACGTATCTATTGAGCAATCCTCAGCGTTTTCTCTGCAAGAAACTTTCACTATTAACATCAACGCTACGCTGTGCTGAGCGGTTTTCTTTCTTTAGAGAAAAAGGGTACCCTAAGACTGATGATGAGTGGCAACAGATATGGGCAAATGATACTAGCGCCGTCCTGGCACATCTTCTCGGTTCCAACAGCACTAAAATAGGATGCGTCATTGGAAAGTGCGTCGAAGTAACGACTCAGCCGCCAAGTGATGATCAAGAACGCAGAGAAGGAAGTGGGGGTGGCGAAGGAAATAAGACTGAAGTCGAAACAGATAAGGCTGCGCTTTTCTGTCACCTAAGCCCTGCAGCGACGAGGAACAAAGCGCCCTTTGAGTAAGTTTTTAACTTAGTAGGACGACTTAGGTGAGAAATATTAAGAAAGGGTTTACATATAAGAACTTTGCAAGACTGGGGATGAGCGGTTTGATGCTGTGTGTTTCTTTTC